AGGGAAGGTGGGAGGAGTGTGGGCGGGAGGGCAGGGGAGGGACCTTTACTTTCCAGAGTGCACACAGTCAAGCCCTCCAAACCTGCCTATTGCTTACTGCTGTTTGAAGCCCCGATGGGAATTTCACGGAGGTCCTGGTGCTACTTGTTCGCCGCGAGGAGGTGGAGGACGCGAGGGGGCCTGGGGAGTCACGAGGAGGAGGAGGAGAAGGGGGAGGAGGGGGAGGAGAAGGAGGGGGAGGATAAGGAAGAGGAGGAGGGGGAGGAGGGGGAGGAGGAGGAGGAGGAGGAGGAAGGACGAGGATGGCGGGGAGGAGGGGAGCGTCTGCCCTCGCCCCCCATCTCGCCTCCTTCCTTCCGTCCTCTCTCCCTTGCCTCCCTCGCCGCCATTCCTCCCCCCTCCCCCTTCCTTCTGTCCCTCCTCGCCTCCACTCCTGCGAGCCTCTTTCGCTCCGTTCGCCACGCTCCTCCCTCCGCCTCCTTCCTTCCATCCTCGATCCCTCGCCTCCCTCGCCTCGTTCCTCCATCCGCCTTCTTCCTTCCGTCCCTCCGCGCCTCCATTCGTCCGATCCTCTTTCGCTCCGCGTGCCACGCTCCTCCCTCCGGCTTCCTTCCTTCCGTCCTCCTCTCCGCCGCTCAGGTTCGTGAAGCTGGCAGGTGCTCTCACGCTGAAGGTCGTAACGCAGGACCGCCCGCGCGTCGTGGGGCTGGGAGGGGCCACCACATGGGGCGGACGTAGTGGATGACTCTCTCTCTCGTTTTTTTATTTTTGTGTCTCTCTCTCTCTCTCTCTCTCCTCGTTCCTCTCCCCCTCTCTCTCTCTCTACGCGGGCCCCGTAACCCGACCCGCTCGCGGTTCGGTGCGTCCACCGGGGCCAGGCGCATCGGCCGGGGAGGTCCACAGCGCAGCGCCCAGGGCGTATACAATGTTTTTGTGTTTTTTGTTTATATGTTTACTCACACATATATATATATATATATAAATAAAAGTCAAAACACAACAACAAAACATAACATATATCATTCAGCACCCCGACGGGGGGCGACAGCCGGCCCGCGTGCCAGCGACGGGGCACGTACCAAAAAACTGCGGCGGGGGAGAGTAAAGTGGAGGAGGAGATCGCATGAAGTCGGGCGTGTCTCTCTGCAGGAGGGGTATTCAGAACTGGTCAAAAAATACTCTGGGGACGATTGTTCTATTCTTTGTGGCAATGTTTGAGTATGTTTTGAATATGTCTCCCTTTCCTTCCAAAACCCGCCTGTAGGAGGACATGTCCGACTTGAAGTTAGCAGGAGAGAATGGGAAGGCATAGAAGACGGGCGCGCGGCGGGGAGGCGTGAGCCACCAGACCCCCCACTCATGCGCTCGCGCGCCCGCCTGAGGCAAGGCTCGGCAGCGTAGCAGCTGATTCCTTTATTTGTCTTGTTTTCTCGCTCTCTCGCTCTCTCTCCTGCTCTCAGTCTCTCTCTCTCTCTCTCTCGCTTTCTTTCTCCATCAGTCCTTCTCTATCCTCATGTATGTTCACCACGTTTCAGCATGTTCCTCTTTCTTTCTCTCTCTCTCTCTCTCTCTTTGGCCCTCCATCCACACTCACTCTTTCTCTTTAATCCTGGTGTCTCTCTCCTTATATAGACATATATAACAATTATGATTGTGTGCATATTTGTGTATCGGTATATCTATGCACATGGCTGTCCCCCTCTCTATATACCTATCTCTCGCACGTTCCGTCACCATGGATATGGCATTCATATGGTATACCTCCATGTACATATATATGTATGTATGTATGTCTCTATCTCTCTCGCTCTCTCTCTCTCTCACTCTCTCTTTCTCTCATTTCTCGTTCTTTGTCTGCGGAACGTCGCCCTCTCATCTCGTCGTTGGTGCCCGCTGGTGCCGCATCCTACGATTTGAACCATCACGGCTCGGGTAATCACTCCACTCCGTGTGAGTGTGAAGAGAGGCGCGGATATAGGCAGCAGGAGGAGGAGGGGTCTTTGCATGTTCCTTTTCTGGAGGTCCAAACAACCTGGGCCCAGGAAGCGAGGACGTTGCAAGATCCAGCGGGAGGACGCGATCGATGGAGAACATGCCGACCCACGACTCCATTACGTTTTTGGCTGTGTCCAGTTCTCTGCTGGCTTGAACTCGGGCTACGGAATCTGTGCATATCCACTGCCCCCCGGCCGGGCCCTTCCTGTGCCCAAGACTTGTGTATGCGCTATCCTGGCCAAGCTAGGGGGGCGTGGCGTATGCACCATTGCTGGGTTCGGGATGGGCCTGGCCAAGCAGCAGTGGATCTGTGTAGAACTCGCCACCCTATGGACAGAGCCCGGGCACGCCTCAAACCTCGACCGTGGACCCGTGGATGGGGGAGGAGGAGGAGGCGGAGGAGGTGTCCCCTGCTGCCTCTCTCTCTCTCTCTCTCTCCCTTTGCCAGGGCTGCGGGCTCACAGTTGCTCCAGCAGCGCAGGGAGCAGCAGCCACGGGAAGCGGGGTCGTGGACGGCTGGTCCGGGCTGCGTGCGCGGAGGCGGAGGAGGCGTCTGGCCGTCTGTGCCCAGCGGTCCCTGGAGGCCGAAGGTGGGCCCACCGCGACCCAGCACCGCGGGTCTTCGAGCCTGCGTGGTCGAGAAGGGGGAGCAGGAAGAGGGGAAACGGAGGAGGAGGAGGAGGAGGAGGAGGAAGAGGAGGAGGAGGAGGAACCTCAGGAGCAGGAGCAGGAGGAACAGGAGGCTGCTGCTGCTGCTGCTGCTGCTGCTGCAATCTGCATCATTGCTTATGCGAGTTAGCAGAGCTATTCACGCGCGGGTGCTGAGGAGCCTTGATTTGGTAGTGTCCCGGGGGTCCTTGAACTCTTTGGGGAACGCAAAGCCAGATGCACGATATGCTCGTGCAGTGCTGGCGTGGACAGCTTCGCGCGGGGGCGCTTTCAACATCTATCCGAAGAAGGGTGAGGAGGAGGGGGCAAAGGGCGTTCCGCCCAGGCGCGCTCCATCGGCCTCATCATGTGTTCGGTGTTCTTCTTCGGGGAAGTCTGCAGCGCCCCGCAGTACGTAGGCCCCCCGCCACCCCTCCTCCTAGGCCGTCAGGGAGTCGAGGACTCGAGGGCTCGACGGCACAAGTGCTCGAGGACCCAACGATTCGAGGCTTCGAGGTTGGAGGCTTCGGGGATGGGAGAGCGGGGCGTTGTGGCGTTTGTCGGCTCTCTCGGCGCATTTCCCACCCCTCCCGTGGTGCTGGATCCTCGTTTTGAAGAGACGGTCCCTGCGTCTCTCCTCTCCTCTTCTCTCCTCTCCTCTCCTCTCCTCCTCTCCTTCTCCTCTCCCCCTCCTCCTCCTCCTCCTCCTCCTCCTCCTCCTCCTCCTCCTCCTCCTCCTCCTCCTCCTCCTCCTCCCTTAACCCCCTCTGTTTGGCACCCCCCTCACACGCTTCGTGGCCCCATAGAGAGCTCCACCGAAGGCTTCAATGCCACCGCACACATGCGCCCCCCACACCCATTTTGGCGCACACCTCTCACACGTTTCGTGGCCCAGGGAGCTCCACCGAAGGCCCCAGCGCCACCGTCCACATGCGTCCCCACACCGACTTCGGCACACCCCTCACACGCTTCAGGGCACCATAGAGAGCTCCGCCGAAGGCCCCGTGCGTCCCCCACACCCATTTCGGCACACCTCTCACACGTTTCGTGGCCCCATAGGGAGCTCCGCCGAAGGCCCCAGTGCCACCGCCAACGTGCGCCCCCCACACCCATTTCGGCACACCCCACACACGTTTCGTGGCCCCATCGGAGCTCCACCAAATGCCCCAGTGCCACCATCCACATGCGTCCCCCACACCCATGTCGGCACACGCCTCACACGCTTCGTGGCCCCATCGGGAGCTCCACCGAATGCCCCAGTGCCAACGCCCACATGTGTCCGCCACACCCAGGTCGCCCACCCCCCCTCACACGCTTCTGGCCCTGTGGGGAGACCACTGTCCACATGCGCCCCCCTCACACGCTTGCAGGCCCCATAGGGAGCTTCGCCGAGGGCCTCAGCGCCACCGTCCGCGTGCGCCCCCCCACACCCATTTCGGCACACCCCACACACGCTTCGTTGCCTCATAAGGAGCCCCACCGAAGGCCCCAGTGCCACCGTCCACGTGCTTCCCCCCACACCCATGTCGGCACCCCCCTCACACGCTTCTGGCCCTATGGTGAGTGCCACCGTCCACATGCGCCCCCCGCACCCATGTCGCACACCCCTCACACGTTTCGTGGCGCCATAGGGAGCTCCACCGAAGGCCCCAGTCACACCCCTCACACGTTTTGTGGCCCCATAGGGAGCTCCACCGAATGCCCCAGTGCCACCGTCCACATGCGTCCGCCACACCGGTTTTGGCACACCCCTGACACATTTCGTGGCCCCATATGGAGCTCCACCGATTGCCCCAGTGCCACCGTCCACACTTGTCCCCCAAACTCGGCACACCCCTCACACGTTTCGTGGCCCCATAGGGAGCTCCGCCGAAGGCCCCAGTGCCACCGTCCACATTCGTCCCCTACACCAATGTCGGCACACCCCTCACACGTTTTGTGGCCCCATAGGGAGCTCCACCGAATGCCCCAGTGCCACCGTCCACACTTGTCCCCCACACCGATTTTGGCACACCCCTGACACATTCCGTGGCCCCATAGGGAGCTCCACCGAAGGCCCCAGTGCCACCGTCCATCTGCGTCCCCCACATTGGGCACACCCCTCACACGTTTCGTGGCCCCATAGGGAGCTCCGCCGAAGGCCCCAGTGCCACCGTCCACATTCGTCCCCCACACCCATGTCGGCATACCCCCTCACACGTTTCGCGGCCCCATATGGGAGCTCCACCGAAGGCCCCAGTGCCACCGTGCACGTGTGTCTCCCACACCCACGTCGGCACACCCATCACAGGGTTTGTGGCCCCATAGGGAGCGTTGCCGAAGAAGATATTCACAATTGCGGTACGCACAACTGCATATGGTTGGGTTCTTCGCCAGGCTAATTTTCTGATCTTCCCCTCTGGTGATTTCTCGAGTCATCTGGGACACTCGTTACGACATGCAAGAGTATCGAAAGCGTGCAGAACTTCCCCCTCCCCATCTCTCTCCCTCGTTGCCCATCCCACTTCCTTCGGCCCTGCTCCTCCTCAGTCTCCTGGGCCCTGGAAGTCCCCTGGCAGCCCCGGGAGGTAAACATGTGCAAGGGGCGAGGCGCGCACGAACATAGCAAATGATTTTGCTTCGAGCGATCCCCACCGAAACCTTACGCGTTTGTTCCCGACGGCGCGCGGACGCCTAATTGGTGGAACGCTGTGCGCGGGGCCCTGTGGTCTGGGCCAGTGCGGCGGTCGGGCCGGTTGGCGAATTTGGTTGTCTCCAAATCGACCAACCCCAGAACTCCTGACGATAGAGATTGAAAGCTCCACAACCCCAGAACTCCTGACCAACCCCACAACTCCAGAACCCCAGAGCGAAAAATCAAGCTTCGAAAACGTGCGGTGCGAAACGGCTAGAGAGCTACAGCCTGTTGAAAGAGGAAGAGAAGGAGCATCAGCAGGATGAGTAGGAGGAGGAGGCGGACGTCGAAGGAGGAGGAGGAAGAGGAGTGAGGCGAGGCGGACCTCTCCTCCCTACTTTTCCTGCTCCTCCCACCGCTGCACATCTGCCGCTTCTGGATTCAAGAACGGTTCAACCGTGTTTCATGCAGTCACGTTCTTTCATGCTATGATCTATCGTGTCCTGCTCTGTGCTCCGACGGGCCGGCGTGACGTCGTGACGCCCGTGACGTTAGATGCGCCGTCTGTTATGATGCCCCTCTAGTTTATAAGCTTCTCTTGTGATTGAGGAGTAGGTTATGTTATGCCCACCCCTGTCACCCTGACACCATATGATTTGCGGCATCATGGTGTGATCTGCTCTGTGGCATTATGACATGGCATGAAATATGTGGTCAGGCTATGTTGTAATATGCTCTGTTCCGGGATACTGTTGACAGCTCGGTTCAGTATGCCATATAAGAGACAGCGTGATCCACCGCCGCCTTACTGTGGAAAATTCCCGCCCCTCTTCCTCCAGAGCCCGGGGTTCGCCCCCCCCCCCCCTCCGAAAATCCCCCCCCCCTCCTGCTGGACCCCCCCCGTCCCCCCCACCCCCCCTTTCCCTTGGCAAAACCCCCCCCCCCTCCCTAACCCCCCCCCCGCCCCCTCCAGAAAACCAGCGGGGTCACTACCGTTCGAACCCCCCCCCCCCCCCGTTCGGAAATCCGGGGCGGGTCCATACCGGTTCGAACCCCTCCCCCCCCCCCCAGAAAACCAGAGCGGGGTGACTACCGGTTCGAACCCCTCCCCCCCCCTCCAGAAAACCGGGGGGGGTCACTACCGGTTCGAACCCCCCCCCGAAAACCGAAACCAGGGGGGTCACTACCAGTTCGACCCCCCCCCCACGAAAACACAGGGGTCACTAGTCACTACCAATTCGAACCCCCCCCACCCCTCTCGAAAACCGGGGGGTTCACTACTGGTTCGAACGCCCCCCCCCCCCCTCCCCGCACGTTCACCGCCAGCAAACGACTCCTGGGTCCCTACCACCGTCCGCACCACATTCCCCACACTGCTGTCCCCAGCACCGCTGTCCTCACCACCACTGTCCCCACTGTTCCCACCACCGTCCCCACTGTCCACACCAGTGCCCCCTACCACTGTCGCACTGTCCCCACTGTCCCCACCACTGTTCCCACCACGGTTCCACTCTCCCCACTTGTTCCACGGCCCCAACCATTGTCCCACTGTCCCCACTGTCCCACTGTCCCCACTGTTCCCACCACCGTCCCCACTGTCCACACCAGTGCCCCCTACCACTGTCGCACTGTCCCCACTGTCCCCACCACTGTTCCCATCACGGTTCCACTCTCCCCACTTGTTCCACGGCCCCAACCATTGTCCCACTGTCCCCACTGTCCCACTGTCCCCGCCGCTGTCCCACTGAGCTGTCCCACTGTTCCCACCACTGTCCCCACTGTCCCCACCACTGTCCCCACTGTGCCTCTATCCCATTTTCCCACTGCCGTCCTCGCCACCGCCCTCACCACTGTCCTACCACCACTGTGCCCTCCACTGTCCCACTGTTTCCACCACATTCCCACTGTCCCCCCACCACTGTCTGTCCCCACTGTTCCCACCATTGTCCCCGCTGTCCCCACCAGTGCCCACACCAGTGTCTCACTGTCCCCCCTCTCCCCACCATTGTCCCACCACGGTTCCACTCTCCCCACTTTCCCCACGGTCCCCACCACTGTCCTACTGTCCCCACTGTACCACCACTGTCCCATTGTCCCCGCCGTTGTCCCACTGTGCTGTCCCACCGTCCCCACTGTCCCCATCACTGTCCCACTGTCCCCACTGTCCCCACCACTTTCCCCACCTGTACTACTGTCCCACCACTGTCCTCACCACTGCCTTCACCACTGTCCCCACCACTACCGTCCCCACCACTACCGTCCCCACCACTGTCCCACTGTCCCCACCACTGTCCCGCTGTCCCCTCACCACTGTCCCCACCACCACCGTCCCTACCACTGTCCGCACCACTGTCCCACTGTCCCCGCACCACTGTCCCCGCCACCACCGTTCCCACCACTGTCCCATCATCCCCATCATTGTCCAACTGTCCCGAGGAGCGGGAATCGTTTGCCGGCGGCGAGGGGGGGGGGGTTCGAACCGGTAGTGACCCCCCCGGTTTTCGAGGGAGGGGGGGAGGGGGAGGGGGTTCGAACAGCTAGTGACCCCTCCGGTTTTCGAGTGGGGGGGGGGTTCGAAGCGGTTTCATCATGATGGACTGGGGGGGGGATGTGTTCGAACTGGTAGTGACCCCCCTCGGTTTTCGAAGGGGGGGACGGGTTAGGAAACCCCAGTGACCCCCCCCAGTTTGCCGCCAGCAGCGGTAGAACACGCTCTTTCATATATTATGATCTGCTCTACCAGTATGTTTCGACATGCTTTGCTGTCGTGTTATGCTATGTTATGTGATGATGTGTCATGACACGATTCGTCCTGTCGAGGTGTCTTATATTATGCTCGGTTATACTATGTTAGGATATGTCGTCTTCTGTCCTGTCATGTTATGGTCCAGGATGTTATGTGATGTGACGTTTGTTGACGGCCCGGCTCTGAACAGTCTGTTATGGTTTGTTTTGCCAGTATGTGTCGCTATGCTCTGCTGTCGTGTTACGCTATTCTCTGTGGTGTTGTGCCATGATATGAAATAGTATGTCGAGGTGTGTTATGTTATGCTCGGCTCTGTTATGTTATTTTGTGTGTGGGTTGTCGTCTTCTGTCCTGTCATGTTCTGCTCTGGTATGTTATGTGATGTTATGGTATGATTTATATTGTCATGACATTTGTACTGTTCTGCCGTGGTCTGTCATGCTCGTGTTCTGTTCTGTCATGCTATGTTATGTCATGTTGTGGTATGTCGTGTTCGTCATCGCTATGTTTTGCTGTAATGGTTCGCTATTCTTGGCTGGAGTGCTATGATATATTATGTGATGCCGTGCCATGATCTGTTATGGTATGTCAATGTCTGTTATGGTATGCTCGGTTATGTTATGCTATGCTATGACAGGTCGTCTTCTGTCCTGTCATATTTTGCTTTGGTATGGTACGGGATGTTATGTTTTGTTATATTGTAGTCATGCGTTGTTATGGACTGTTATGCCGTGGTCTGTGATGCTCGTGTTCGGTTCTGTCATAGTATGCTGTGTCACGTTGTGTTCTGTCGTGTTCGTCGTCGTTATGCTCTGCTATCGTGTTGTGCGCGTGTTCCGTTCTGTCGTGTTCTGTTCTGTCATGTTGTGTTCTGTCGTGTTCGTCGAGGGCGCGAGGTGGGACACCCAGGAGTCTCCGGGATCATCGGGACAACTCGGGATTTGGCGGCCGCGGTATGTAGGGTGGGCTTGGCCAGGCGCTTGGCGGGACACCCGGGGCTCTCGGGGACCATCGGGACAACTTGGAGTCTGGCGGCCGCGTTATGCGCAGGGTGGGGTTGGCCTGGGGGTTGTTCTTGACATCAAGCACCCCCAACCTGTCGAGCGGGGAAGAACGTCCAGAAGCTTCCCTCCCTCTTCTTGGGCAGGCCATAGGAGCGAGCGCTCGCAGCGTCAGAAAGGGCCCGCGCTCCGCGGGCCTCCGCTACCGCTCCCGCAGCACATGCAAGCGATTGGAGAGGCAGCGATGAGCAAGGAAGAGACACAGCTGGACGACATGACGGCACCTCCAGTCACAAGCGTGGAAGGAGCAAGATGATGTCCGACCAAAGCATCTATACACCACCACCGTGCCAGGCCAGGGCCATCTTGGGCCCTAGGATGGTGTAGTCATAGACCCCTCTGACCTCGGCCAGGAGGCCGTATGCACCATGCCAGGGCCAGGATGGCCTTGGCTTGGCACGGTGGTGGTGTACAGATGTTTTCTGCGTGTGATGGGCAGCATGCAGTGGGCGACGGCGCCCGCGCACACGAGGACGGAGAGGGAGAGCACAGATTCCCCCCCCCCCTCCCTCGCTCCCTCGCTTCGTCCCTCCCTGATGCTGGTGCCATTTTTGTCAGCTGCTGGGTGTGCCAGTATGCCCCGGGCGAGCTCGCCCAGTGAACCCCTGCACATTGTTGGTGTGCCGCTGAGCGGGCCTGCGGCCGCTGATCTGGGCCCGGGGGTCCGAGTATAGATGGGGTCGGGGCATCGCGCCGCCTCGCCGATGCATCGCCGATGCGGCTCGATATGGGGCCCAATTCTCTCCCCGCCATGGTCGCGGATGCGTCGCCGATGTCGCCGATGCAACGCCGATGCAGCGGCTATGCGGCAAGATCCTCCGACCCCATCTAGTCTCGGACCCCACCTGGGAGGCTTCCGATCACGAACGATCTGGTGTCGTTGGCCTTCTCATCTTGCGATCGTCTCTGTGGACACATCGCTCGAAGACCTCAGACCTGAGAGACCTCCCTCGACGCTCGATCCCTCCCTTCACAGAAGCAAGTCGGCGTTCGATCGCTCCCTCCCTGCGGCCATTCCCTTCTGCGCCCCGCGTGGTCGCGCGCGTGAGTCCCCCGACAGGCTACACACTCACCCTGCTGGGCATGGGCATGTTCGACTACGCGAAACAGGCGCGTCGGGGGCCCGCATTCCGGAGGAGGGGGACAGCGACGACGACAACCCTGATTTCTCATCTCGTGTCTCGAGCAACAGAGCACTCGTATCGTTGCCCTTCGCAGGAAAATGCTCGGGATGATAATCTGCTGCCCTGGGGAAGCCGGAAGCCCACGTCATGAAGCAGCACGATGTCTGAGGTGTGATCGTTTTTGATTCATTGTTTTGCCGATCGGCGCGGGCCCCCAAGCCCCCCTCCCCCCCCTGGAGTAGATCTTGGCTTTTTTTTGGCGCCTGTTCCGAGCGGATGGAGTCTCCCCCAGAGGCAGCACTCTTGCAAACAGTCGCACTAAGTAGAGGTCTGGAGCCAGACCCCCGCCCTCCCCCCCCACTTCCGCCCAAAGTCGAAACGACGAATAAGAAACCGTTCGCTATCCCCAGGTCGGGCCTGGGAAGGAGCCGGGAAGCGCCGAAGGCAGGTGAAGCTTCGGCGTTGCGCAATCGGGGGGTCAGACGTGGGGGGGCGGCGAGGGTGGTCCGAAAGGTACCCAAACGGTACCTGAACGAGCCCCCTGGGGCTCCAGAGGGTCCCGAAGGGGCTCCGAAAGGGGACCGTCTCTGACCCCCCCAGTTATGACACCCTCATGAGGCCACGCCCGAGATGCCTCCAGGTTCCAGCTTCCTCTGGGGCCCGCTCGCTGCACGCCGCTCGGTGGCGGGCAAGGCGTGCTACCCCTCTCCTGGAGCGACAGCCAAGATCTACTCCAGGGGGGGAGGGAGGTTTGGGGGCTCGGCTTATGATGTTCCAACCTACTTTAGCCTTGACCACCAGAGAGAATTTCGAGCGCCAGAACAAGTATCCCAAAACTCGAGGATTTTCACGTGTCGGGCCCTGGGAGACACTGTTTCGACACTATTTCGACACTCTTTCGACACTGGTTCTGGGTGCTCGATATTATGTCTGCGATGTGGCCCTTCAGTACGATGGGGGCAGCATGAGGCTCGGCAGAGCAATTCATACAAAAAAGTCCACTATCCCCGGGAAGGGCCCCGGACGGGCCTGGGCAGGGCCGAAGGCAGGGCTTCCTCTGGGGCCCGCTCGCTGCACGCCGCCCGGCGACGGGCGAGGCAGGCTCCCCCTTCTCCTGGGGCGACAGCCAGGATCCACTCCAGGGGGGGGGGAGGGGGGTTTAGGGGGGGGGCTCGGCAAAGCAAGGAATGAAGAAGTTCCCTATCTCTGGTCAGGGCCCGGGGAGGGCCGGAGGCAGGCGAGGCCTCCGGGCCCCAGCTTCCTCTGGGGTCCGCTCGCTGCACGCCGCTCGGTGGCGGGCGACGCGTGCCCCCCCTGTCTCGGGCGATCGCAAGCATGCATCAAGGGGGCGTAGATTCACGACGGGTCCCGTGCTTCCATGGGAACTCGCGGATTTCCGCCTCCGAGCGAGGCGACACCGGCCGCATCTTTGGGAGGGCACCTCCACCGATCTATCCATGCTTGCGCGCCCCCGACTCTCCTGGAGCGCTGCGCCCTGCTCGTGGCGGTGGCCCGCCCCGGTGGTCCCGGGCCTTCGTGTTGAGTCGGGCCTGTCCCTCCACAGGAGGCATGTTCCCAAATCGTCAAAGAATTGGCAGGGGACGATTTTGTTTTGGAATTGTTTGAGAAGTTTCGGCCCAAATCCGCCTGTAGGGGGACACGCCCGACCTAAACTTAGTGGGCCCTGGAAACGAGGAAACGACAGGGCCGTGTTTTACCGTTTGCGTTTTGTCGTCTTCTTACTGGTTCCGACGCCGTTTTTTTTCAGGTTCTGTCGCCGTCTTCTTACCGCCTCCAGCTCCGGCTTCCATCCTGGAGCCGTTTATGGTCGCCATGTTTTCGTTGTTTCCATCCTCACGAGCCATTTTTTCGGAAAGAGTAAAAAACGGCCCTGCCGTTTTCCAGGGCCCACGAAGTCCCGACCCCCTCCCTGGGGGCTAGTCATTCGTCCCGCGCACTTTTCCGGGCGTTGCGCAATAGGGGGGCGATAAGTATGGCGAGGGGGAGCAGAGGCGCACCCTTCGTGCACCCTATGGGGCCCTAAAGAGAGGGCACCTCTTGAGCTCAAAAGGGGTCCGAAGAGTGCACGTTTTTGTTCGCCCCCCCCATGTATATCGCCACCCCATAGAGCAACGCCCAACTTTTTGATGGCCCTGGGGCCCGGATACGGCTTCCAAAGGCCAGGCCGAAAACGAGCAACAACGGGTCATCTCTATTGCAAAGGCCTTACGGCTGGTGCCGTCGACCCTGAAGGGGAACGACGACGACGATGACGACGACGGTTGCGACGACTACGACGACGACGACGAAGACGGCGACGACGACGACGGCGACGATGACGACGACGGCGGTGACGGCAACGACGACGACGACGACGCTGACGCTCGGGAGCCGAAAGCTTGTCCCAGGGAGCGGTGCTCTCCCCTGGGGGAGTCGAAACCGACAAACAATGAGCGAAGACGACGAACAACAGGGGGAGGGGTACTCCCCCACGGGGTGGGTGTGTGGGGCGAGAAACGACGAACGACGACGAAACACGACGTAGCGGCGCCCGATACTGAGGCCGCTGGCCTTGTCTATAGCTGTAGTGTCGGCGCCTGGTACGAACTCTGGCTCACTTCGGCTCACTGGTCCGAGATCTGGCTTCCTTCGGCTTACTGGTCCGAAGTCGGCCTGATTTTGCCATGGTCCGAAATCTGGCCTGCTTCCGCCGAATCCACTTCCATCCCGCCTCATCCGGCTTAATCCCGCTCAATCCGCGGCCCTGTCCGGCGCAGCAGCCCCCCGGTGGGGCTCAATTCTCACGTTTCTTTCCGACGAACACCTCCCAGTGGTTGCCTCCTAACCCCTCCTCCCCCTCCTCCCCCTCCTCCTCCTCCTCCTCCTCCCCCTCCTCCTCCTCCTCCTCCTCCTACTCCTCCTCCTCCTCCTCCTCCTCCTCCTCCTCCTCCCCTCCTCCTCCTCCCTCCTCCTCCTCCTCCTCTCCTCTCCTCCTTCCTCCTCCTCCTCCCTCCTCCTCCTCCTCCTCCTCCTCCTCCTCCTCCTCCTCCTCCTCCTCCTCCTCCTCCTCCTCCTCCTCCTCCTTCCTCCCCTCCTCCCTCCTCCTCCTCCTCTCCTCCTCCTCCTCCTCCTCCTCCTCCTCCTCCCTCTCCTCCTCCTCCTCCTCTCCTCCTCCTCCTCCCCCTCCTCCTCCTCCCCCTCCCCCTCCTCCGCACTCAGCCAGCACGAGGCGCGCCGAGGCCAAAAGGGGAGGCGATCGGCGCGCGGGGCCGCGCGCCCCCGCCCCCCTGCAGGTGCTCAAGGACGCGGTGGCCAAGGCCGAGACCACGTCCTAGGCGCGCCCCCGGGGGGGGCCCAGAGGAGATACTCCGGATTTCGTAATAAAAGGGAGGGGGGTCTCATTTCGGGGGGGGGTCTCTTCCAGGCTATCTTGGAGGGCCTGGGGGGGTCTGGGGACGATGTTCTGGAGGGTTCTCCCACGGGGGGGGGGTCTGAAATGGCTTGTCTTGGAGGGTCCAGACCCCCTCCCTTTTATTACGAAATCTGGAGTATCTTCCATCGCATCGCGATCCCCGCATCCCAGGGGAAAGGCAGCCCCGCCTCGCGAGAGCAAGCTGTCGGACGCTTTCTCGGGCGATCGCAGACACGAAGCAGGGGGGCGTGGGGATCAGCGGCGGGCCCCGTGTTTCCATGGGACATCGCGGATGTCCGCCGCCGAGCGAGGCGGCACCGGCCACATTTTGGCGTGGGCACCTCCCCCGGTCCATGGATTTGGCGACCGCGCGCTAAGTCCATGGATCGCTAATCCATGTTTGCGCGCCCCCGATTCCGATTTCCAGGAGGCTTGGCTGTTCCTCCGAGGTTGTCTCGTCTCGGGATGCTCTCCAGCAGCTGCGCCTCACCGAAAGCGTTCCGGGGGGGACCGACTAGTCCCAAACGGCCGCTGGAGGCACGAGCCGTGGCCAGATTCGTGCGTCCTGGCCAGCGCTCTTGGGATGCCAGGGCGCTCATGCTGGATAATCACGCTGCGCCGAGCCGCATTAGCTCCGCCGTTTCGGCACCCACCTCCCCTCAGCATGGTGCAGGAGATGGCCGTGATCTGAGACTATGCGTTGGAGCACAAGGACGGCTCCTCTCCACGCACGCGGCTGGGGTTCCTTGTGGACCTTCTTGACCCGCGGGAGCCCATCAACATCTGGAAACCCCACTCCACTTAGCTTCTTCAGAGATCCTGCCAAGAGCCTCGTGAACTGCCTACCGAAATTCTGCGCAGCCTTAATATGCAGGTCGATCTGAGGAGCTCATGGATGTTCCAAAGCACCTAACCTAGCGTATGTATCTGCCTGCTGCTTTCCAGGACACCACGAATCCGAGAAATCAGGATTCCGAAACCACATCTTACTCTTGTGCGACGGCACTCACTACATATTCACATTTTCTCTCCCCACGTCTTCCAATTTCCAGAAAATCGGCCTCCAGACTTCCCAATACGGTTCTGAAGCCCTGCACATTACCACTGGGCCCTTCTGGAGACCTACGAGCAAGTTCTTGTGATCTGTCACGATCGTGGCCTTCGCGCCCACTAGGCAAATGGCCATGTAAAACGCGTAGTGGTCGGCCAAGCCTGCGCACTGAACTGGTCGGGAGGCAGGGCCGTACGCGACTGCTGACACCTGATCAGTGCCAGGCTTGAGAGAAACAGCAGCGCAACCTGCTCTCGTCATCGTCATCCACTCCGCCCACGGGGTGATGCCCGAACCGTCGATGAATATCTCATCTCCTAGGTACCCAAAACCCAGCAGGCCGTGAGGGGGACACTCGTGCTCAAGCAACGGTGGAGGCATGGCGTCTCTCATGCTGTCCGTCGCCCCATACTCGGCAAGCTGATTTTTCCCGAACTCGCGACCGATCGACACGAGCTCTTCACACCCTTGGTCTCGACGCCAAGCTTCCAAACCATCGCAACCAGACAACCTGTGAGAAATGGTGCCAGCCGGCTGGCCACACCATCTGCATACATCAGAGGTAGTAGTATACCGCTCTTCCAAACAGCTTCGACTGCGTCCACAGCCCTCCAGACATGCGGATGCTTACTAGGTCCGCCGAAGAGCCGTCGCCATTTGCCCTGAGGACCTGCAGCTCTGTCTTACCCGGGTCGAGGAAGGGGAGACCCTGTCATCCCATGTGCCTAGCCGCCCGTGCCTCCTGCTGCCTCTTGAGGCCCCTGTGCACGATCGCCTTGAGGGACTTCTGTCGTGATACGCCTGGAGCCACGTCGTGAGGCAGAGAGCGTCCACGACGTACGACGGGTCATGGTCTGGCGGGTCCTGCAGGAGGTACTGTACTGCCCTAGACGTACCTGTAGCTTTGCCAAACATAGCGAAGCTAGCAACAGCGCGAAGGTTAGAGAGGTCCGAGCACACCGCTGGCCCCGCCTGGACAGGACAATGATCAGCCCCCCGCCGCCTAGTGGCAGGCAGTCCGCTCCTCTGGAGGAGGAGGCGGCGGGGGGCAAGACGTCCCAGCAATACCTACCCATGCTCTCGCCTTCCATGGGCGGGCCTCCTGCAGGCCGAGATTTTGAGATCAGCGACAGTTTAGTTGCTGCTCGGGTTGGCGTCGGGTCCAAGTTTGATTTCTTCCAGGTGCCCGACTCCCCGTCCAAGGATCAGTTCTGTTTAAAGTTCGAAGCCTGTAACGCCACGTCGCGGGGGTCGTGCAAGGAATGGCTCCTTGGGGCCCAGGCCCATGCCGTGGCCATCCAAGAGCACCATCTGGTGTCCAGCGAGTCGTGTAAGGAAGCGGAGGCCTGGTGCCTGCGCAATGGTTGGAAGGGGATTTGTTCTCTTGCGCATCCAGGCGAGGGCGAGGGCAGCTTAGGCGGTGTGGCTGTGCTCGGTCGTGAGCCCAACCTCAACTCAGAAGTTGTCCCGTCCAGGGCGGTCGCGTGCATCATTCATCTTCCTGGGGACGAAGCTCTTCAGGTTCTGTTAGTCTCGGTGTACTTGCATTGCTCCGAGGGCCTCACCAACCGTAACTTGGTCTTGGGCGCGGCCGGCATCCTCGAGGACATCCATGCGTCTGAAATGTTGGTGGGTGGTGATTTCAACATGAGCCCTGAGAAAATCCTGGACAGTGGTTTTCCTGAGCGGTTATCGGGGCAGATCATCTCCCCGTCATGTGACGGCACCTGCCACCTGCCCCACCACGGGCGGGATAAAGTTGATCGATTTGTTCGTGGCCTCGAAGGGCCTCGCCAAGGCTGTCAAGGATGTCTCGGTCCAAAGAGGTTCGAACATCACGCCGCATGTGCCTCTTCAACTCGAGCTGCACGAGCGCGCGGCTTCTCTGCAGGCTTTGGCGTTCGACCCCCCCCCCCGCCCGTCGCCTCTGAGCGTCGCATAGGGCCCCCGAGGGCCCCCCTTCCTGGAAACGCGCTCTCGGGCTTGGAGGCGAAATCCTGAGCGAGCTGGTTCCTGGGGCCTCGTCCGCGGGATTTCAGGCAAAGTTGTCTCGCCTCTACCGCCTCTGGGGGAGGCTGGCTGAGCATGAGGTGGCCGAGGTTGCTCATTCCAAGTTGCCTAGGTGCGGAGCGCGTGGGCGCAGGCCAAAGCTGAACTGGGCCTCTGTGTTTCGGGACTCCCCCCAGGGGTGTAAGCACCCTGAGCTCTTTGGGATCAAATGGCTGACGAGCACCTTTAGACAGTGGAGAAGCACCAAGTTTGGGCCCCCAGAGGCCCATCAGCGCGCTCTTTTGATTGGCGATCCCCCTGGGGACATGGTTAAATTTCTGGTCCGCACTCCGAGTTGCTCCTCAGATGCCAACTGAGGGTGGGCGTCTCTCGCCCCCACTTTTTGCAGCACACAGCTTCCGAACATAATGTCAGGAACGGCGCGACTGTCAGAGTCGACGCCGAGTTTAGGCAGGACGCGTCCTGCGCCGTCGGCTACGACGACCCCCGCAGCACGGAGGTTGACGAGGCCGACGAGGCCCCCGATTCCGAGTTGCCCACTGACTTGAGCCAGGCGCTGGAGGCGGTTCAGAATCGTGCCAGGAGCCAGGCCGCTAGATCCTGGAAGGAGTGGCTGTTAAAGAACATCGAAAAAGGGGGTCGCAACGCGCATTTGGCCAGAAAGCCCGCGGCGGGCTGGAAGGCGTCCACCACCCTGTCGTCGGCCGGGATCGTGATTTCGGGCCCCTGGGCCCTCCTCCTCCTCCTCCCTCTCTCCTCCTCCTCCTCCTCCTCCTCCTCCTCCTCCTCCTCCTCCTCCCCCCCCTCCTCCTCCTCCTCCTCCTCCTCCTCCTCCTCCTCCTCCTCCTCCTCCTCCTCAAAAACCAGGCGCCGCTGTTCTCTAAACTCTGGGAGGCCGAACCCAGGCCCGACGAGCGGGGCCGCCCGACGGCTGTGGAGCTCCTCCCGCCGCTTGAAGTTGATTTCTTGAGAGAGGTCTCCTGCCTGCGGCGTTCCCTCCTCCCCCCCCCTCCCCTCCTCCTCCTCCTCCTCCTCCTCCTCCTCCTCCTCCTCCTCCTCCTCCTCCTCCTCCTCCTCCTCCCTCCTCCCTCCTCCTCCCTCCTCCTCCTCCTCCTCCTCCTCCTCCTCCTCCTCCTCCCCCTCTCCCTCCATCCGCCAAGTCCCACCCTCATGATCGGTCCGCCGAGTTGATTTCTTGAGAGAGGTCTCTAGGAATTGCTCGACCAGTACGGCGTGCGCGATGGACGGGTTCCATATGAGGGACTACTCGTGGATGTCTGACCAGTGTATGCGGGTGGTTTCCATGATGATCAGCATAGTGGAGTCCATTTCGTGCCTGCCGATGCAAGTCCAGCTCGCTCTGGTGATTTTACGAATGAAGCCCAACGGCGGCTGGAGACCGAGTGGATTGTTCTGCTCCATCGACCGTCCGTGGGGAAGATGCCGTCGCATTTACGCCCAACTGCGGGAGGTCGCTTTTTTCTCGGCCCTACTTCGCTGGCCAATCGTTCGCCTCCGCCACGGACGTTGTCTGGAGGCAAATGCTGAAATCCGAGACCGCAAACTCCAAAGGGCTGTGTTCGGGGACTTTGCTCTGGGACATGAGGAAGTTCTATGAAGGCATCTCTCTGGAACGATTGGAAATGCACTGTCAGCGTTTGCTGTTTCCTCCTGTGCTGTGCAGGCTCTCGATCGCGGCGTATCGCGGAGCTGGGTTTATGTGTATGGGTAACTATGGGTCGGGGCCTTTCTACGCGGCGAGGGGGGTCATCGCTGGGTGCAGTTTCGCCACTTCGTACGTCAAAGTGTATTGCTTCGAGAGTCTCGACGAAATCGAGTTCCCCCCCTGCACGCAGCTCTACCAGTACATCGACGATAGTGGAGTTTCTAGCACGGGCACTGTCGCGTAGGTGGCCAGCAACTTGAAGGTTGCCTCATCTAGCCTGCGCAAGGCCATAGCCGAGGAGATGGGGTGCGACATGTCGCGCGACAAGGCCGCTTTCGTGACTTCCAGCAAGGGGGTCAAGAAGCAGTTGATTGACTTTGTAGGACCACTTGCGGGCAGACCCACGGACAGCGCTGTCAACCTGGGCATCGACGATGCCGCGGGCAGGCCTAGGAGGGCCGCAAAAAAAGAGCCCCACATTTAAGCTCAGAGTGTCCCACCTCGAAGCCACCACCAAAAAGCTGGTCCGTACGTCGTGTAGCCTGGGGAAATACAGCAAAAGGATTTGGGCTTCTGGAGCTCTCCCTGGGGTCCTCTACGGAGCGGAGGTTCATGGAATCTCTGATTTCGAGCTCGGCAAACTTCGGAGGGAAGTTGGGGAAGTTTTGCGACCCAGGGCTGGAGGCCGCTCGCTCACCTCCACCCTCTTCCTCAACGAAGACCCGACCTGGATTGCCGCTATGCCCCGATCATCAGATACAGTAAAGAGGTGCGGGCATCCCAGACCCACGCCTACGCCTATGCTTTGTCGCTCCCGGTGCTGAGGCAAGCCTGGGAGCATTTGTTTAACAGTAAGATGCCCACCTGGCGACAGGTGTGCGGACCGTTGTCAGCGATGAGACTACCGTTAGCTCGGATAGGATGGAAGATGTCGAACTTCGCGACGTTGATCTCGGAGGTGTTTTAGGCGCCAAGTCTCTGAGCTCTCGAGGGCGGGGTACGGTCTTGTTTCAGTCGACGGTTCTGGCCACGAACGGTGCACGATTTACGCCCCTGTGTACGCTCCTTTCCTCCAGACTCTCCAATGCGGAGAGTTCACGGCCCTAGCCAGAGCGGGGATAGAAGTCACGGGCCCGTCGTCGGTTTTTAGTGACTGCAAACATGTTGTGGACCTTGCCCTTGCCCCGAGAGGGTTGCAGGTTTCCTGCGAGAGGCCCTGCGCGGGTCTCATGATGCTTTATAACCTCGGGGCCCCGCATATGAATTCAGTTTCGAAGGCGAAGGCTCACCTCGACCCTCATGAAGAGGGAATGGAGCCAGATGAGAGGTGGTGCCGTTTGGGCAACCACGCGGCGGACCTGGCGGCTAAAGCAGGGGCCAATCTCCACCCTGCGGCCGCGGAAGAGGAGCAGGAGGCTTTGGTTTTCTGCATTAGGGTCGCCAAAGCCGTTTGTAATTTGGCGGCCCAAATCCTTCCTCAGCGGCCTCGGTTGGACCTCTCCAACTGCCCTCGGGAGGCCCAAGTCAGCCCCAGCACAGCCTCGTCGGAGGCGGCTCTATCGAAGGCCATGCTAGAGAGTCAACATTGTTTTGTGCGCCAGCCGTCTCATAGATATGCGTGCAGCCTGTGCCACTGCATTGTTAACCAGAAAGATATTATGGAGGCATGCGCGTCTGAGTGCTCGGTAGACCAGCCTGCGGGCTCCGGGTCCACGGACTCGGCTATCGATGAATTTCGGTCGGTGGGAGGGGGGTGATGCTGGGCGGGAGGCAGCTTCACGAGTCACATGCCCTCCGCTTCTGGCCGCGGCATTCGCTATACTTTTGTGCGACGTGCGGCCGCGCGGCTACGGTCGCCCCGAGAAGTTTATTGTCCCAATGCCCGCCTGCCACGCGTAAAGGCGTCCAGAACCTGGCCAGGATAGGCAAGAAGATCTTCCCGAGCTACAGAGGACCCTCAGACGCTGTGAAGGACGCACCTCGCCTGTAGGAGAGATGGTGAGCGCTCTGCCGCACCGCCAGGAGGAGTCTGATAGTTCGGACTGGCTCAAGTTTGGCCAATCGGCAGGCACGCACCTGCTCTTTTCACGTGTATCCTCTTCTGCACGGCCCGATTCGACTGACCCTTTTGGCAGGCATCCGTGCTTTCACCCCGCATCTGGGGCGAGGTCAGACGCCGTCCTGGCGCTCTCTGCACCAGGGGCGTCTGACCTCGTCGTCCTTGTGTGGGCGGTCGTCTCCAGTGTTTTGCGTGTGTTGCTTTCAGGTTTTGGCCCCAGGCCACTGGCATGTCTCCTGTGAAGGAGGCTACTTCGAGTATACCCCACATCTGGGGCGAGGCTTGCTGTCGTCCTGGCGCTCTCTGCACCTGGGATGGCGGGTCTCGTCGTCCTTGTGTGGGCGGCCGTTTCATTTCTTCTATCGGGCTTCGTGCGCGTCCGCCGTGTGTGCGCGCTCGTGGTCGCTCGGCACGCATGTCAGGCACCCCGCTTCAGGGGGAAGGCGCGCGGACGTTTTTCTTCCTTTGCAGCCGAGGCCCCCTCTGGAGGGGTTTCCCGTGTTGCTGCTGCGTTGTCGTGGGTCTCGGAAGCGCTCCGCCTCATAGAGGCTCGCGTTGCGGTTGCCAGCTCCGCTCCCCAGCCGCACCCGAGGACTCCGACAGACTGTTGTTGCTGACCTCAAAGGAGGCTACCAGCGGCTGCAGTCTCGCACAGGAGAGGCGCTTGTCAGCGGGAGCTAGCGCCTTGTGCCCAGGAGGGCTTGCATCCCGAGGCCCTGTCAACAAAAAATCCTCCTCCTCCTCCTCCTCATCCTCCTCCTCCTCCTCCTCCTCCTCCTCCTCCTCCTCCTCCTCCCCCCCCCCTCTTCTCCTCCTCCTCCTCCTCCTCCACAATTACACACTATGAATACTACTCTCCCACTTCCCCTGATGGCGTCCGGAAGATGTTCGGCACCCCCCCGCGTACTGTTTTTTTACACAGGATTCCCCGGAGTTGGGTTTTCGCTTGTGTTTTTTTTTTTTTTTCAAAATGCTGCTCTCGCTGAGGCGCCGGCTTCATTTCTGCTCCCGAATCGTTCCGAATCGTGCTCCCGCTGCAGCGTGGGCCTCATTTTCGGATCGGTGTTTGGCCTCCGTCGTTCAGGATGGCGTTCTCGCCCCAGCGCGGGCCTCTTTCTCGCGCGCCCATCCGCCCGCCACCACCGCGCCGCACCACACACAACCACCACCACCACCACCACCCACCACCACCACCACCACCACCACCACCCCACCACCAACCACCACCCACCACCACACCACCAGCACCAGCACACCAGCAGCACCACCACCACCACCACGACAACCACGCACACACGCACGCACGCACGCACGTGCACCACCACCCACTACGCACGCGCGCGCGGAGCCACAGGTCCGCTACGACACGCGTCCGCGGATAGAGAAAATCAGCGCCATGGTAAGGGATGGGAGGGAGGGGTAGGACGTCAGATATGACGCGAGCGCACCTAGCTTGTCCTCCTCCTCCCCCTCCTCCTCCTCCTCCGCCTCCTCCTCCTCCTCCTCCTCCTCCTCCTCCTCCTCCTCCTCCTCCTCCTCCTCCTCCTCCTCCCCTCCTCCTCTCCTCCTCCTCCCCCTCCCGGGCTGATGACTGGTTGCGAGGTGGTGCCCGCTCAGGCCAGGACGGAGCCAGGCAGGCTGGAGAACCGTTTGACCTTGCCATGGTGTTCCTCCTCGCCTTCCTCCTCCTCCTCCTCCTCCTCCTCCCCCTCCTCCTCTCCTCTCCTCCTCCTCCTCCTCCTCCTCCTCCTCCCCTCCTCCTCCTCACCCCTCCTGAAACTCGACTCCTCCTCCTCCTTCTCCTGGTACGCTCCTCCTCCCATCCTTCTCCTCCTCCTCCTCCTCTCCTTCTCCTCCTCCTCCTCCTCTCCTCCTCATCCTCATCCCCTCCTCCTCCTCCTCCTTGTCCTCCTCCTCCTCCTCCTGATCCTCCTCCCTCTCCTGCGCCTCCTCCTCCTCCTCCTCCTCCTCCTCCGCCTGCTCCTCCTCCTTGTCCTCCTCCTCCTCCTCCTCCTCCGTCTGGCCCGAGCCAGGCTCGAGGAAAGCCACGCTGGCGGCCAGGGGGCCACGTGCACGCCGCGCTGAGGCACGTCGAGCGGCCGACGTGGCCGGGTCGCGGTGGCGGCAGCGATGGCCCGATTGGAGAGCTCGGTCGCAAATCATGGGAGTCTTTTGCGAACGCGTTGAGCAGCAGCTGGGCGGCGTCGCCGCCAAACTCCCTCGCTCCCGCCTGCGCTACGGACGCTAGCGCCCCGAAGGACGCGTGGTCCAGCGGCACCACCTGGCACGTGGACAGGCCGGACGCCGCGCGCGCCAGCTCCTTTCTTGCACGACGCCCACCGTGTAAATCATGTCCTCGTAATTCCGTCTTTGGAATGCAGAATGCATTAGCGTGCGATAGCGCCTGGCAGTAGATGAGAACTCGCGGACCAGGCGTCGATTATCGTCGGTTCAGGGTCGATCAGCGTGGACTTGCGTTGAATAGCGTCGAATCGCTGGCACCAGCAATATGGCAGGGGAGGCTCCCATGAGGTGCCGCAAAAACTGGAGAAGAGCTCGTGCCATCCCAGCTGTGCGAGCTCACCCGGCAATGGACTGCCACCGAGAGGCTCGGGCGTTCGCGTACAGTGGAAGCCCATGCCAAGAAGCAGCCTGCTTGCCTCCAGGGTGCCCTGGGTTTCTCGGGTTTCGATGGTTTTGCGATGGCAAGCGTGACGCTCCCATACCAAACATCGACGGACGCCCTGGGGTCTCCGGGTTGGGTTTCTCGTGGAAGATTTCTTGGGGTCGAGCTCCTACCGTAGGGGGCAGGAGGAGGAGTGGGCTGGGGGTCTGAGGTGGCCCAGCACTGGCTCCAGCGGGCAGGAAGGGGCACGGCGGAGGTCCGAAGGCGGAGGCCCGAGGTTCTGGATGGGGGCAGGGGTTTTCCCTTTTTCCGCCTCTGGGGGCCCCTTCTCGGGCCGCGGGAGAATCACACACTGACCCGATGGAAGAGCTGCGCCAAATGGACCCCCGGAGGGGTCCATGGGATCGATGTTGTGTAGATTTCCAGAGTTGGCTGCGCGTGAGACCGTACTTCTCGCCGGAGTGACCTGTGGTGCTGGCCCACAGGGGTCCCCGCAGCACTGGCCGGGACGATTGGAGTTGCCGCCCCCGCGGCCCCCTAAAGCCGCGCACCAACGGTCACTCTTCCTGCGTGTAGCCGAAAGACGGGGATCGGAAGAGGAGCGCGGACAGGAGGGAGCCGCGAAAATCATTGCAGTCAGGACATAGCATGTCTCACCGATGACAAGACAGCGCCCTGACTGTTTCATGCCACGATCCTCCATCGTCTCCATCTTCCTCGCCCCCCCATCTCCGCCCCCTCCCCACCCTCTCCCTCCTCATCTCGTTGTCCCCCTCCTCCCCCTCGCCACCCCTGATTATGTGCCTCCCCCGCCGACACGGTCTCATCCTCGCCCGCGCCCCCCCTCCTCCCCCTCCTCCAGACCGAAGCCCATCTGCGCTCTGGCAAGATGACCGTGCCTGATGGGCGCCATGGAGAGTCCTCGCAGGAGCGAGGGCGGTCTCGCTCCCAGGAGGACCGTGTGCTCGAAGCCGGGGGGGATGCAGTGCGGAGGAGCATCAGGAGCCCCGGAGGAGGGGGTTGGTGCGGGAGAGAATGACGAAAAGGAGAGGGAGGAGATGATCCCTCTCCCGTCTCCTCCTCGTCGGTATCCCCCGCGCCCTCCCGCCCGTCTCCTCCCCCCGATTGTATTCCTCCCCCGGTTCCTCCCGAGCAGCTCTCGGAAGGTCGGGACGCTCGAAGTCGGCCTCCAGGAGGCTGCAAGCACAACGCTCTGATGTGTGTCGAAGAAGAAGAAACGCCACAAACATACACTTTTGGCGCTCCGCGTGGATTTCTTGGATCCGCGCTGGGCCCCCCCGGCGGCGCCTCTGGCGCCGCCCCTGGCGCGCTCCGCGCGCCAGAGAGGGGGGTCCAGCGCAGATCCAAGAAATCCGCGCGGAGCGCCAAAAGTTTATGTTGATGCTGTTGTTCCTTCTTTTAGTGTGTGGTGGACGTCTTGGTCCAGATGGCTGGGGCTGGGAACTTCCAAGAACCAGCGGGCACTTCTAGGCCAGGGGGGGGGCGGCTAGGGGGGGGGGAGAGGCTTCCCCCCTCCCCCTCCCCACTTGTGCGCGCCGCCAAGCTTCTGAGAGCCGCACCTGAAGGTATCGGGCCAGCTTCCTCCGACATCGCACGAGGGAGGAGCAGGCGGGAGGGAGGACTCCGCCAGCAGCAGTGTGCCTGGAGCTGCCAGCAGCCTCGCGCCGCCGCCGAGGTCCACCGCCCACTCGCGCTCGTTCGGACCGAGGTATGAGATCGAGGTCGACTAAAAAAAAACTAAAAAATAAATAAATATATATATATAACAAAAAATATATATAAAAAAAATGAGATCGAGGTCGACTCGGGGAGGGTACCCTAGCATTCTTCGTGCCTGCTGGAAAGTATTGTGCATCCTGGGGAAGGGTACCCTCGGTGATCTCATGGGTCAGGGCTCGAGTTAAGTGGTGGTTTGGCGAGTTCGTGGACCGCTTGTGTCCTGATCCCGTTTCGCAGCAAGGGCAGAACGAGGACACCATGAAGGAACACAAGCACAAAACGAGAACGACCAACACTTTTTGGCTCCAGCCCTGTCATAGGGTTCAGGGTGTCTTGGCCGCCCTCGTGCTCTCGGAGGATATCCTTCTGTCCCAGTCCCGGCCGCACGCGGACCGCCTCGCGCCACGGGGCGGCCGACCGACCCACCGACCCGCTGGGCGGCCCCCAACCTTGGGAGCAGCCAGGGTGGTGGGCATGTGTTCCACCACCACTACCATAAGTTGGAAGGGGGAAGGAGGTGGAGGAGGAGGAGGAGGAGGAGCGAGGAGGAGGAGCGAGGAGGATGAGGAGGAGGAGCGAGGAGGAGGAGGATGATGATCATGATGGTGATGGTGATGGTGATGGTGATGATGATGATGATGATGATGATGATGATGATGGTGGTGATGGTGATGGTGATGGTGATGGTGATGACGATGATGATGATGATGATGATGATGATGATGATGATGATGATGATGATGATGATGATGATGTTGGTGATGGTGATGACGATGATGATGATGATGATGATGATGATGATGATGATGATGATGATGATGATGGTGATGATGATGATGATGATGATGATGATGATGATGATGATGATGATGATGTTGATGATGATGGTAAGGAGGAGGAGGAGGAGGAGGAGGAGGAGGAGGAGGAGGAGGAGCGAGGAGGAGGAGGACGAGGAGGAGGAGGAGGAGCAGAAGGAGGAGGAGGAGGCCCCCCTCCCCCCCTCCAACTTGTGATGGTGGTGGTGGCAAACAGGCCCATCACCGGGGGCCTGCGCCGTAGGGGCCCCGAGAACATCTGTCAAGAGGGGGAGACACCAGACGCGGCCAGGACGCGGATGAATCCGGTCCATAGCGTTAAGACGGGCCTGTCCCTCTACAGGGCGAATATTCAAAAATATGTTAAAAAAATAGTCAGGGGACGATTTTTTGACAATGTTTGGATATGTTTGGAGTATTGTTTGCTTATTTTTTCATCCAAATTACCCCTGTGGGAGGACAGGCCCGTCTTAACCATAGCGTTCTGGAGCGCTCTCAGAGCGCTCCGGGACTCTCTGAGAAGGCCGTGGCGCCCGAGACATCCTCCGGAGCCGCCGGAGCTCAGGGATTCTCGATTGATGCTCACTAGATGGCATCCTCGTCCTGGCTTCGTCTTACAGGTTGGGTCCGAGCAGATGGGGTCGGAGGACCGCGCCGCATGACCGAGGCATCGCCGCTGCGGCTCGATGTGGAGCCCGATGCTCTCCACGCCGATGTCGCCGATGCCTCGGCGAATATGCGACTGGCTCCACGCCGACGTCGCCTATGCCTCACAAGATGGTGTCCTCGTCCTGGCTCCGTCAAGCACTGTCCCCGGACCCCTCTGGCGGTCGGCACCGGACCAGTTTCTCGAGCGGGAGTTTGAAAAGAGGTAGGGTTCTCCCAGGGTGGGGTTGGGGAGCGGGCCAAGCGGCATGCTCCCGTCCAGCGCGCTTCCTTCCTCTAGGGGCCGCTCGGAGCGATCTTCCTTCCAACCCCACCTTTGCCCCAACCCCACCGAGCCTCCTCCTCCTCATCCTCCTCCTCCTCTGGACGAGGAGGAGGAGGAGGTGGAGGAGCCGATGAAGAACTTCGAAAACCCATACTCGAGCCAAGGTATGTGGAAATGTTGTCCAGGGAATCGAAGCACAACTGCATCAATGGAGCCCGATCGGCCCAGCGCTGCACTCACTTGTTCGCCGGAGGATGAAGTTGGATGAACGTTGAAAACCCATGGTCTCCCGTGGCGAGACGAAGGTCTGGGAAGATGGAGGCCAACCCAAGTATTTGAAAATGTTGTTCCAGGAGATCGACTTGTTTGTTCGCTGGAGAGCGAAGGAGGTCTGGGAAGATGGAGGCTTCGAGGTTCAGAGGCAACCGGCTGACTGGTGCCGACGACGAACTTCGACAACCCATGCTCCTCAATGATGTTCCTGATATCGCAACGCTTCTGGGATTCTTCAGTCTTACAGCGACCCACGAAGGAATCATTAAGGGCGTCCTGCAAACACTGTGCACGGAAAGAGGGGATGCCCATTGGAGAATTTGTTGACGTACTAGAATCTTTGCTTCTTCAAAGGGATGTGCATGTGCGAAAGAGATGGAAAAACGGAGTATGAAACTGAGGCAGAGGGGCCGGCAACATTTCCCAACGGGGGCTCCCTCTGACCTCTTAGTGAGTAAAATCACAGCTGTTGACGGGTTTGTCATCGAAGTGGACGCGAAAGCGCAACGGACGAACCTTGGACGGCATATATGACATTATGTGAAACAATATTGGCCATCATTTGTTGCTGATTATCCGCGGCGCCGATTGGCCAACAGCGGCGCAGTCCGCACTTTGCCAGAAGTGGCACTCGCTGTTTCGGAATGGGAAAGTATGGGATTGTTTTGCCAGGTTGGGACACAAATACGCAACTGCCGCCACGTGGAGATTAAATCGCAGGCCCGCTTGCACACCTAAGTTGGAGACAGATGCACATGCGCAGACACTGATTTAATCGCTTCGTTGATTATGCCGGCCCTTGTTGTCGCACCTCTGTCGATTTGGGGGTGTATTCCTGATGGGGGTCGCAGTGACTGTGGATTTGGTTTCGGGAGTTCGTCGCAGATTCTGGCGGGGTTGTCCTGGGGCAATCGTGGGTGATCACGGGTCCGGTCGGTGATTTACTTACTTGTGTCGGTGAGGGGTTGATGATTCTTGATGGCCCGGCTGTGGGGCCATGTCGCAGATCGGAGGTATTCGTCGCAAGTATGAGCTTTTCCGTTTTGGAGGTGGCGGCTTGTGAATGCGACCGCAGGAAGAAGAGGAGGAGGAAAAGGAGGATGAGGAGGACGAGGAGGAGAGTGAGGAAGAGGAGGAGGAGCAGGAGGAACAGGACAAAAAGGAGGAGGCGGAGCGTACCCAGGAGAAGGAGGAGGATGAGTCTAAGTTTCAGGAGGAGGAGGAGGAGGAGGAGGAGGAGGAGGAGGAGGAGAAGGATGAGGAGGGGAAGGAGGAGGAAAAGCGAGAGGAGGACGAGGAGCAAGAGGAGATGAAGCCTCTTGGGCCGTCTTGGCGGTCTATCGGGCCGGCTTGAGGCCATTTAGGGCGGCCTGGGACGATGGTGAGGGCTCTTCGGCCCCTCTTGGGTCCGGCGCCTTCTAAAAACATTCTCCTTTTAAGCAGCATTCCCCCTCCCTTACCCTCTTGCGCGCGCCGCCAAGAGAGGGGAGGAGGAGGGCTGAGGAGGCTGAGGAGGGCGGGGAGGGGAGTGGGCGGGTCTTGTAGGGCGGGTCCGTAGCAGAGTTCACTTCGACCCATTCAGATACGATCTCGATCCTCCTCCTTCTCCTCCTCCTCCTCCTCCTCCTTTTCCTCCTCTTCCTCCCTGTCCCTCATCCCTTCTCCTCCGCATGCTCCTCCTCCCCCATCGTTATCCATCCTCCTTGTTCTCCTTCCTCCTCGTTCTCCCCCCTCCTCTCCTCCTCCCTCCTCCTCCTCCTCCCGCCTTCTCCGCCTCCCGCACCGAACAGGGAGCGGGCGAATCCTGCAGGGAAAGGGGCGCCTGGCAGAGTCCATTTCGATCCGATTCGAGGTTCTAGGTGTTCGAGGCTGTCTAGGAGGGCTTCTTGAGGCTCTCGTGGGGCTTCTTGGCGGCGTCATGGGCCGTCTGGGGCCATCTTCGGCGTCTTGGGACGATCTTGCGGGTCGGCAAGCTAGGAAATTCAATTCGAGTTCCTCCGACGGGGCCCCTCTTGAGGGCTGTCTTGGGCTGTCCAGGGGACTTCGTGGGCCATCTTGGGGCCCTCTTGGACCTCTTGGGCCGTGTTGGGCCCACGTTGGGAGTCTGTTAGGCCGTCATGGGGCGATCTTGAAGGTCTCTTGGGCAGTGTTGGACGCGCTGGACCTCGAATCGTCGTATATGGGCAAACTGTACGT